TTTCGCACAAACGTACTGTTGCAGAACAAGGTTATTCACATACTCAGTGAGAAGCAATAGCTATGTTTTGGGCCGTTAAAATACTTAATTGATATTTATTTTAAAAGAAATTCACCATTGTTACGGTTCATGAAGCTTTACAGTTCATCTATCATCCCCAAACGTCCTTGGAAGGTTCCTCAGCCTCTATGGTTCAACATTCAACATGTTGACTGCATTTCTCAACATTCATTACAAGATACACCTTTTGATACTTTAGACTGTTTGTTAGTGAAACCTTTGCCGTTGAGCAGTTCAGATGTCATCAGAGGAACTCGTTGATAATTTGAATGTATACTCAGTGCTATACGAAAAGGTTGAAATATTAGTCTGAAACGTAGATTTTCTGACTATTTTTCAGAGCGGGGTGGGTCATCTACCATTCCTGATAGTATTTTGTGTCGAAATGATCATGTTGTTATTCCTCCTTCATAAAGTAAATCTGTACTCAGAGGTCGTGATTATGGACATCTGGGTGTTTAGAAAATGAAGATATCATAAGTCTATAATTCATCGTTTGAATTGGACTCTATGGCCATTACCGTCTGAAATCTGGAAGAAAATTAATGCAGACTTTTGTGGTCCATTTCTCGGTAAATACTATGCACTAGTTACCACTGATTCTCTTTACAAGTGATCTGTATTTCTTTCGCAAATTCGCCAAAGTCTGACTTCACAATACAAAGACTAAAAAACGCTTTTAGTCTGGAGTGAGTTTCTATTTTACTGGTGATTGGTAATGGCTTTCATTTCTCTGCAGACACAGTGACTATCTAGTTGAATGGTATAGGGTGCAGATATCTATTCGCTGCTCCCAGTCACTCATGTTCTAATGGCCAGGCAAAAGATTTTGTCGTGGCACTAAAGACTGTTATTGACCCCATTACTACTTTAACATTTTGATGAACTGGAGAGGGGAGAAAACACATCTGTTCTGCAATAAACAAATGCCAAAAATTCTGCAACAAAAAAGACTTCATCAGTGTTACCAAAATAAAGGATCGTTCATTCGAATATGAAGTGTTTAGAGTCTGTATATATTACATATTACTGTATAAATGACCTTCGTCCAGCCACGTGGACTGTGGCGAAGAATGTTTGAAAATCTATGGTGCAAATTCTGGATATGAATGATTCAAGTGCACACAACCGACAAGCTGATCAAATATAGTTCCGGGAACCAGGTGAGTTTGTAGTGACCTACTTTTATCAACAGGACGCGATTGGTTTAATGGAAACAATCATTATTATAACCAATTGTACCAGTGATTAATCTACTGCGCTGGTTTGTTTAACCGTGCTAAAGACAGCCATTACTCTCCTCCATTCCTATTCCGCGGACCGTGATCTTGTACACCCGTTCTTCTGCCCACTAATTCCGCTTGTATTCCTTTTGGCACTATCTCGGTATTCGTTCGATACCACGAGATCGCCAACAAATAAGTCTGGTTACAAACCTTCTTCTTCTGATTTACCTGGTACGCGCTCTTCTTGTAGTGGTGATCATAGTCAACCGCGATTCGACTCCATGCTACAAGTTCGTTCTAATTTCGGTTGTTAATTATAATACTAATGAGTAAATTCTAGAACATGCAATGTCTACCTACAGCACACAGCCAGACAGACACATGATAAACGTAAGTAGAAAACGTACTTGTGGTGTTTGAATGAACTAATGACTCCTTTGTACTTGTTGAATGTTTGATTTCGAATTCTAAATACAATACATTCGTTCGTGCTTATCTAGTAGTTCTTGATCCACTTACGTGATTTCTGGGATTATTAGTTCTTACCATAATTCAAACACTTCTAATTATCATATTGGAGTCGCGATGGAACAGTTAGATATTCATTCAACTTCTGGAGCTTTTGAGGACTATTTGGAAAGGTTTGAAATCTGGAGCATGACCAAGAAAGATGATGAGGATATTAATATTGTGGCACATTTTCTCACATTCATTGGAAAAGAAGCATATGGCTTATTAAAAACTTTGGCTTCACCAGAAAAGCCCATTTCTCTTCCTTATACAACTCTCAAGGAACTACTTCTAGACTATGTAAAGTATACAAATTTCGAATGCGGTAAAGGGGGATTTCGTAAAATAATTTATGAGGATATAAAAAATTCCATTATATTACCTCACCTCATCCCAGTGCATACTCAAGGTTGTGCAGTTCACGAAGATGGGCACAAGTTTAATCAATGTTTTTTTGTGGCAAGTTCCACCCTTTGAATTCATGTAAATTTCGTAATTGTAAGTGCTTTAAATGTGTTGATGTTAGACATATTCAGTCAGTTTGTAATACTACTGTTCATCTTGCTGCAACTAATATTAAGTCTTGTGATTCTGATTCTATTAATTTAAATATTTATAATGATCATTTATCTTTATCAACGATTTCGAAAGACAGTTTAGAGTCATATAGCAGTTCAAAGTTAAATGAAACTCAGAATCCTTGCGAGAAAACAATTTCTAATGAATCAATCTATCAGATTTTTCATGTTGTTGTACCAGATATGATTTTTCCCAATGGTTCACATATTTCTGATGAAATTTCTTACAAATCTTGTGAAAATATTTCGGATGAACCTAATCATGATCGAAAATCTGATATAGTTTTAATTGATGCTGATTTTTCTAATGATCCTTTACTCTGCAATGACATTCTTAGAAAATTTGAGGAAACTATATCAGAAGAATCAAATCTTGATGTCATATCAAATATTATTTGTCCTCATGATGCATTTGTTTCTTGTGAGAAACTTGTTTGATGCGAAGCACGAGTATTAAATGAGTTAGAGTTTGATTATAATTCAGATAATTCCATATCAACTGTTGTTTGTCCTTATCATAAATTCACTTCCAATGTTTACTCTAGTCAAATTGGGAAAGATGTTTTAAATGAAGCCACATTATTCATAACTTGGGGATATGAAGATCCGACATTATTTCGTGGGAGAGGATAGTCTATGGTTCATATTCTAGGTAGTAGTTTCAGTATTCAACCGGCATGGTGATTGTTCACAATCCCAGAAATCAAGTGAGTCTGTTCCGATTTCCGTTGTTAATTCTAATACTAATGAGTGCATCCTAGATAATACAGAATCTTTATCCAATACACTGTCGGACAGACACAGGACAAACTTAAGAAGAAGACGTGCAATCAATTACAGACACGTTGACTCCAATTTAAGCTGTGGCGGATGTGGTGTTTGAATGAACTAATGACTCCTTTGTACTTGTTGAATGTTTGATTTCGAATTCTAAATACAATACATTCGTTCGTGCTTATCTAGTAGTTCTTGATCCACTTACGTGATTTCTGGGATTATTAGTTCTTACCATAATTCAAATACTTCTAATTATCATAGTACTATTGATTACAGAAATTTGGATTTGGACTTAAGCTGTGGCGGTTGTGGTATTTGTACCAACTGATGACTCCTTTGTATATTGATTGTGCGTTGATTACGAATTGCGAATAGGACACATTTATTTGTGTTTATCCAGTTCTACCCTCTCGAAATCGCACTATTTAAATAGCGCGATTTACTAATTAGTAAGCTCTTAGTACATAATTTCGAATGCTATTAATCATCATACATAATTTCTTTGATCTAGCTGTGTTCATTCACTTCTGTTACGGTTAGATTCTGTTGATTGTTTAAATATTTATACAGGAACGTTGCTATTCCAAGTCATTTTCAATACATTTGCCATCGGTGTTTATGGTGAAAATAACGAACGAATGCCAAACAATTGTTTTTTTGTCGTCTCAATCGTCTGGCTTTAGAAAAGATCGCAGAATCGTCTTCATCGAGTATATAATGTTTGCACGAAGAACAGACCAAGTTAATGAGTTTGCTAGATCTAAATCCTGGAGTTACTACAAAGTTAATTATAGTGTTAAGAAATGTTGGATAAACACAAAGCCTGATTGGCTCAATTTCCACTCTTAATAGCACTAAGATTATCTACCAAAATCTGTTAACTGGGTCGTAGCACACACCAATGTCAAACGACGAATTCTAACCAGATACTAATGTGGTGTTTGATACTTATGTTTGGAGAAGTATGTAGCACCAATCAGAAGTGAAATGATTATTAACACATGGTTGGGTTGATAAAAACAGGAAGAAAAATAGATAAGGAAGATATCCAATATTGTATGGTTTCTATATTTTGTCAAGATACTGTAATTCTGCATGAATTAATAAATTGGTTTCATTAACCTGAGTTCCTGTTCATTACATTACAAGTGACTGTAGGAGTTATTTGGAATCTGATCTGTTGTACAGTATGTAAGAGCTTTTGAACGTGAAAATTGCAGTTCCATTGAATGACCAGTAAATTGCAGCGACACATGACTTTTGAAAATGGCCAGTTTAGCAAAATCTACCGCCGAAGTAAAGAAAGTTCGTTTTCAAAGATCAAACTTGTAAAATCCATAGAGCTGGTAACAGCTGTTACTGAGTGGCACCGAGTTGGTGAGATGCTTTTCCTGCTAAGCGGATAACCAGCATGATAGTTTTACGCGTATTATTCATAAAATATATCATTCCTGATAATAACTGCCATTTCGTTTCCTTTTATCTCTTGACATCGCTTCCGGTAGTCACTCAAATATATTTAGAAAAATCCGTCTTATGAAATACATGGACTTAAAAGATCATATTTCCATACCTAGCTCAAGAAAAGAGAGAGGGCTAAAATATTAAGAATAAGTTACGGGGGCTGCTATTTTTATTGGTGAGAATTTGGTTTTCAGCTTGTGCGGTATTGGTTGATATTATGAGACAGAACGGTCGTGTTATTCCTCCTAAAAGATCCTAATTATTACTTGGCTATTATCTGTAAAGAGGTGCTTAGTGTTTACGATTATCCTAACTTTCATCATTGTAAAAATGATTTCGGTATGCGTTACCCATCATATTGTTTTAGCTCATCAATTTAGTTAAAGTTCTCACCTTCATCGGTCGAATTTGCGTTAGCGGGCTAGTTGGTTCTCAACATCATTTTTTGACGATGGCTCGGGCTGATATTGGTATGATTGGTCTGGCAGTAATGGGTCAGAATCTGGTCCTGAACATGAACGACCATGGATTTACCGTATATATATAGATTCCTTTACTCATATTTTACCCCATAGGTCTCAGTTTATAATCGAACTGTTTCCAAAGTTAGAGAATTTATTGAAAATGAAGCTAAGGGGACAAATGTAATTGGAACAATGTCATTAGAAGAGTTTGTGCAAAGTTTAAAACGTCCTAGGAAAGCTATGCTTTTGGTTAAAGCTGGTCAAGCGGTCGATGATTTTATTTCGAAACTAGTAAGTTCATACGTGTCCAAGGTTTAGTACATGATCCCTGTTTTTGTTCCATTTTTCACGGCCTTATGTACCTAGTCTGGTCAATATATTCTTTCTTACCTGTATTCTATTGTCACGAATGTTATGAGACATCTAGTCGTTCATTATCATTATAACTGTCTTTTGGAGTTGTTGGATTGTAAACGTTTTACACTAAATAAAAAGATTGACTTCTGTTCCCTCCTGGTCAAAGTGAATCATTGGTTTTTCTTATTTTCAAGTGATTGGTCTTAATTAGTTCCTAGATGTCGAAAGAAAGGTTACAGTCTGTATTCGAGACAGCCATACTACATCATCTTGTTTCTAATCATCAATATGATGTTATCTTCTTACTTTCAAGTGTCCTTGGGCGTCTTCTTCTGGTTCTTAATTACTATAGCTGTTATCTTAGTCTCTTAGTTCTTTTCGCTATCTTTCTTGATTCCAAACATAACCTAAACCGATATACGTTTGTTCAAAGTCCCAATTTTCTACTTATTTGACTTGCAACTTCACTCTGTTCGTACAAAACAAAGTTCGTGTTAGTGCTTGTAGCAAGAATTTACCTTTGTTAAATATATACTAGTATTTGGCTATGGGGGACGAAACAAACTAGGATGAAACCCATATTTTAAATCAATATTTGTACATTCATAATAAAAGCTAGTCGATTAATAGTGAGTAAAACTTCCTGATATCCAGCTTTTTTATGAAACATTTGGCGTAGTAAAATTTCTCCTAACCATTCAAAGTACCACTGTACACCTGAAAATTTTGTAATGTATTTTATTGTGTATTTGTTCTTCTGTCTTAGGTACCTTTACTTGAGAAAGGCGACATCATAATTGATGGAGGGAATTCTGAGTATATGGATACTGACAGACGCTGTTCTGAGTTAGCTAAACAGGGGATCCTTTATGTTGGCACGGGTGTAAGTGGTGGAGAAGAGGGTGCTAGACATGGACCAAGTCTTATGCCTGGCGGTAACCCTGAAGCTTGGTAAGTTGCTTTTTTATCACTACCAATCGGTGTCTTTCTGTCCCCTATTATTAGTCTTTCAGTTCGTACAACTTACTAGTTACTAATAAATCTTGTAGTCACTGTGGATCTGAGAACGCTTAGGCAATCGTAGTGGTGCCTCAATACTGTTAATATTCCCCGAACACTTAAACTTTTTTCTCAATCCCTAGAAATATATTCACTTGGTTTATAATATTTATATATATCAGCCAAATAAGGATGTGATCCACCTGCATATGTACCATTCTCTGTCCAATGGTTAAATTACTTGGCTTGCAACCAATTATCATCTAGTCTGGTTTGTGCATACGGGTAATAGTACTTGAAAAAGTACCTAATTGGTAAAATTAACACAGATTGTCTGAACGTTTTCCAACTAATCTTATTATCAAGAGGAATCTAATTTTGTGTCACCTGATAAATAATTGACTTATTATGACATAATACAGATATTCGAGCCTAGTTGTTTGGGGATCGACATCACTAAGTAACTACTTGTTTGCATCATCAGGTGGCAAAATAAATTCTCGGAAACTTGCAAACCCCGGAATAACCCAATGAGGATCCTTATGAAATATTTTGTATTTAGATAAGTATGTGTTATTGACTGTCATGGAGTTTTAGTGAGACCTTTTTGGACTGCCAAAACGAATGAATAAATTTCTAAGAAGTAGGTTACATGCAAAGATACAATGTGATTGAGTGATTACTTACGGGATCGGCCTATTGACTCGAACCCGAACGAACTGAGATAAAGATAAGGTCACTAGCTAAAGTAGTAAGTTTTTTTGTCTGATAAAGTAAAATGCTTATGTGAAAAGTATTGACAAAAATAAACGTGGTTAGATGCTGTAAAAGTTTGGACAATATTAATTTTTTAGGTCGCTCACTCTAATGACTTGAGGCCTATGGGATGTAGCCGTGTATGTTAGTTGTACCAAAGACATTATTATATATCTTTGTGTTGAGTGTTTAGTTGAGGCTTCGTTTGGTTAGGCTTCGTTGTCGTCCGGACATGGATACTTTCATAGCACTAATTGTTTCTTTAAGAAAAATTTAAACGGCTTAAAAATCATCATTGAAAAATTTAAAATTGTGATATTTTTTGACACATACGAGGTCAAGTCATTTTACTTCACGACAGTCAAGGGATGGTCAAGCTAATTGTCCATCAATGTAATAAGACCCACTTCTATACAGGCTGCTTTTTGTGAGCTTGTTGCACTTAACATCCGAGAAGTGTAGTTTCATGTCGCTCTCACTATGCAACACATGGTCGAAGGTCGCACAAACTAAATTCATTGAACATCATTAAAGAATATTAGTACTAGTTATAAGGGCTTTCTGCTTTAGTATTGGCTAATACAGAAATATATTCGATTTTTCCCATAAGAAAATTTTTTACTATGTTTCGGTGTTGCAAGAATCATGCCGTTTCTGTTTCTTTTATACATTTTCGTTATGGTGTTTTTCCTGTACATCATATTTTTTTCAGGCCTCACATCAAACCAATATTTCAGGCAATCGCAGCTAAAGCCAAGTCTGGTGAACCTTGCTGTGACTGGGTAGGTTCATTTAAATTGACTATTCTGCGCTCTATAATATTGTGTTTATAATTGGACTATAGATTAAAACTGATGATTCGTTTTTCTTTCCATTGTTATTTGTTTTGTATTCTGTTCTATTGAATGTCGTCTAGAAATATAAGTAATATTTTGTTAGTTTCGTGTAATAGTAGTGATAATCATAGAAATGGAATTATGTGACCAAGTAGTTTTTTCACCAGTCTATTATCCTAGACTTTTGAAATGGATCTCTACTTTACTTTTTGGATGTAGATTACCGTATATTATTTTATCTTTCTACTTAACACCCTGAGATCAGACGTTAGTCCACCTTTATGGTGAGTTTCGTTCATTTTACTTTTTAGACAGGACCTGCTGGTTCTGGACATTATGTAAAAATGGTCCATAATGGGATTGAATATGCTGACATGCAGTTGATAGCAGAAGCATACCATTTGTTACGGTATTTGGGGCATTTCCAAAATAATGGAATAGCACAAGTAAGTATCTTATTGTTTATTGTCCTAAATACTTAGGTTTATTGTATTTTGTTTAGGTTATTAATTATTAAACACCCCCTCCAACTTTCACACTTCTTACCCTTATCTTTTCTTCACCTTAATTCTTGCATATTGTACACGGATCCTCATTAATCCAAAAATCCGATGCATATACGTGCCTGGTCCTACGTTGCAGCTGACTGACTGACTAATCCAAATTATCACGTTTCGTATAAGTTTGGGGATAAGAATTTATGATGAATAGCAAAAAGCTGAAATAAGGATACTATTAGTGGTGAAAAGTAAAGATGTATACATCTCGAACACTTCGACCGAATCCTGGCATTGTTTCAAGGTTTCCGACCGTAGATTGAGTTTGTCCATCCAGGAAGTCTACACTTCCTAACATATCTCAGTTTAATAGTTGAATCATCTGGAATCTTCGTCTTTCCTTTTTCATTTTTATTCCAACATCTTTGCTCACTAGAGTAGATGGTCTTTGATCGCGTGTAAAATGTTCCAACAATCTTAGTCGGTAAACGTTCACAGTTTCATCAACCAATTTATCATGACCTTTTAATTTACACTGTAGCAGAAGTGATTAATGAAAATGCTAGCAGTAATCGGAAGTGCATGTTTGATTATTACTTAATAAATTGTAACAGTGCTTTTATATGTTCTTGTTATGACTCCAAGTAAGTTGGTTGTTAATAGATTTAAGAAACTGATCCCTATCTCTACTGATACTGTTATTGAGTGTGAGTTATAACCTTTGTCAGATTATCCTGTACTAACCACAAATCAAATCTTTTACTTGGCAAACCACACATGGATAGCATTACACTCGATACAAGCGAGACGAAAGACAGCATATTAATATTTATTAGCATTCAAGAACTCGATTACATTCTGTTTTTTTCAATTTTTTTCGAAAGGTTTTCAAAGAATGGAACGAAGGTCCTCTGGAATCCTACCTCATTGAAATAACTAGTCATATATTTAATTACCAGAATCCTGACGGTTCATACCTTATCGATCAGATACTGGATGCTGCGGGACAAGTATGTGACTGATGACATTCTTTTCTTTCGTCACAAGAGACTTTCCTGTTTTTTTTGGTACTTAAGTTGTTTGATACTTTTGGGCGATAATTTTATTGTTATACCAATTCTCTTTCCATCATCAAATTGAACCGTAATTCATCTATTTCGGTCTGAGCAACCCATTAGTATCACTTATTTTCATACCAAAAGTTGTGTCCCACCCTTATACATGAATCTACAGTCAGTTAGTCATAATCAACGTACAACCTACTGCAATTGTATGTTATCCAAAGTCGACATACTAGAATAAGACAGTGCTGAGATAAAATCTGCACGATGAATAACAAAGGAGTCGAAATGACTATAGCAGGTATAATAGTGAGAAAGTCTAAACATTCAACGTATAGTTCAAGAAGACGGAATGAAAAGGTATATATGGAGGGATACTGGAAATTAACATCTAACTGAATATAAAGAGAGAATACATCGCACTTACATGTAGAATTGTATTCTCCGGTATTCGATGTTAATAATATTGGACACTATTAGAAGCTGTACCTCCAACTCATCATCAACTGAGAAATAAATGTCAATTTTAAACAAATAGACTTTCACTCTTTTAAATGAAGTTACCATTAGGATCCTCCATGTCCATAACCTGGTATAAACCCACTAAGATTTTAATGCAATTTTAATAACATTTATGAGGAACTTGTTAAATTTTTCCGTTCTTTCTTTTTATCTTCATCTGATGTGATAATTTGATGGCTCTTTGGGATAAATATGAAGCTCGAAGAATTTTTCCACTTAATATTAATGTACCAAATGGCATATTTTTTCTCAGAGCTATCAGACCATGAACTTTACTCATGTATGTAGATGACTTATTTGTTATCATTGAAAAGACATTTATAAGGACTTTTTCTAAAGTGATAAGTATATTCTCAGTTCATATCAAATTTACGTACGAGAAAGGAAATGAACACAATGAGCTACCATTTGACTGTTTAGTCGAAATAAATTTAGGTGGGACTCTAAATTTGACTATCTACTGTAAATCGATATATCCAAATCAGTGTATTAACTTTGATCTCCCACTTACATTTAGTTCAAAATTTTCTCTGGTCCCAAAGAACCATCAAGGTTATCACATCAGATGAAGATAAACAAAAAAGTAACAGAAAATTCTAATAGACTTCTTACAGTTTAACAATTTTCTTATGGATATTGTTAAAATTGTTCTAAAACCTTACTCACTTTGAAACTTTATAATGTAACACATCCTACGGCCAAATATCCCTGGTTTCATGGTTTAGTGAAGGTCAATTAAACAGGATAATGAGATCCTAATCCTGTTGAGTAGTGAATGATCTATAAAGCTAATATCATATGACTAACTATTTCAAAATGAAAACAAAATTGTTTACTTTCTTTTATAAATGTAATTTATTGTAACAGATTGACTCTGGGACTATGTTTACACTAAATAACCTTTACAACACTACTGAGTTTCATCTATAAAAGACATTTCACACACACTGCATATTACTACTGATATGAATACTCAAGTCACGATGGTGTGTATTTCTTCACTCACAATGACATCGTACTCGCAAGTGAAGTAAGATCTTTGAACTTTACCGAGTTCATTCTAAATAACGAGAAATATACAACCTGGTACAAGCTTATATTGGTTCAGGTAAACTGTAAGCATTGGAAGCTATAAAAGTTTTGTTTCCCTTATTTTTCATCTTCAGAAGGGTACTGGTAAATGGACTGCAATATGTGGACTTGATCATGGTGTTCCTGTGACGTTGATCGGTAAGTTATTTAATTTGCATACTGACTCTTACTTCATTCCATATTATTTATTTAGTTGTGTTTATTTTTCACGAGTAAACTGTTTTTTTATAGTAATACATTTATTGCACTGATTTGGATTGTGCCCAATCATGTATATGTCATATATATTTTTCCATAGCTATGAAATATTAGATCCTCTTTGAGACCATATATTATAACAGAGATTTTAGTCGTATGATTCTTTTACGAGGTATGTTTTAGGATTATTACGAACACGTTTTGTTTACTGAATTCACGAATATAGTCCTGATCATGCACAATAATCGATTCATACTAGCCTATGTGATTGTAATGTTGATGTAAGCCATCAAAACACGCTGATGACATACCAAACACTAAAGGACAAAAGATTATGTCCTTAGACGTAACATCTTTGCTTGCGAATGTCCCTTTCAGGGAGACTGTCGAATATACTTGTGAACAACTTATGGAACAAGAAGAAAAGACTACAATCCCTGTGGACATCGTTAAGGAGTTATTACTAAAATGTACTATGAATGCAGGCTTAAAATTCACAGGTGAAATATGTAGACAAATGGATGGTGTCACGATAGGTTCACCACTAGATCATATATAGGATGACATTTTTCTCACCGGGCTGGAAAAAGGGTCCATTGGCACAGAATATTGACAAGTTAAGCAAAGGTATAGTTAAGACTATTTACAGCTCGATTTTTTGCTCACTTAGTACAAACGGGCCATATGGCGAGCATGAAGTAGTCATGTTCAGTAATATATCGTGTTGACAGCAATTTGCCTAAATCCGTCAGACTTAGAATTCTTCAGACGGCTTAAGCAATAGCTTTTCGTATGAGAAAACTGGAGCTCTGTGTTCAGAAAAAACATGTTCAACCGTTTCTTCTTTAATTTGGTCAGCTTCTGACGTAATCGGTTGATGGTAATTTGATAGTATGGTGACGCAATTCGATCAATGTTAATACAGCCTTCCTCTTTGCATTTTTATAGTTTAACTTAATCACATCTTGTCATGATCATTATTATTATTGATATCACCACTATTGTTATCAATATTAGTACAACGCTTGCAAACCTTTTGAGGAATTTATTCATCATCCACCTCTATTCACTAATTCGTAAGCAATACATATTACGTGATTTCTCATTTGTAATTACATTAATCTCTCTCACTCCATGCTAACCATATATACTCTGATCAATAATCTCACAGTTTCATTTAACGTATAAGCTCATGCAAGTCAACACTTCATATCAGCCATCCCAACATTTTATTTTACAATCCTTAATTCACATGCTATAGCTTTTAAACAATGTATTTTTCCTTTAAACCCGACAACCTGGATTTTTAATTCGGATATATAATTGTAGAACTTGAAGAGAATTTACTGAAAAGATTTCTTTAACAGTCGAATTTACGATTTGATCTAAGCTAGATCGCCATTGAAAACTTGGAAGCACTGGTTGACCGTTTAGTCCTAGTATGGGACTCTTCAGCAGTGCGCATCCATAGTGCTGCAGGTGGGACTCTAACTCAGGCCCTTCGATCTCGCTCAAGAGCGCTTAACATCTAGACTACTGAGCCGGCATTCATCGATCTTAATGTCTAACTTCAGTCGATCCAGGATCCTGCGCAACCCTTCATCCATTATCTGGGGTGGATAACTGCTGAGGAGTCCCATACCAGGACGAAACGGCCGTTCAATGCTTCCAGGTTTCCATTGGTGGTATAACTTAGATCAACTCGTGATATCAACTATTAAAATACTACAATCTTCACAAATCCCCATACTATTCTTTGTTCATTTATTTGTTTTCGAATATGATGGGAATTTCTCATGTGATAATATTTAATTTGGGCGTTCTCTGTTCATCAAAAATAGTAATTTAATTTTTTTGAGAATTATACAAGTTCATTAAAAATTGAAATAATTTTTTTTAAATAGGCTTAATTAATAGGTAATCTATTATAACTGCCAAACGCCTTACCTATCCGTAGTACTATGTTATATTTCTTACTACTCAGGACTAATTAGTAATGACGTCTAATTGGGTGTCTATTATACTTCATATATTCTACTATAATCAATAAACTTTAAATATTTTCTTGTTTCAAGATAAAATTGTTTTCTTTCCTTTAAAAATACATAATCTGATCGAATAAAATTACATTTGTTTATTATTATTTTTCCCTCCCATCTATCTTATTATGTACTTTAACATTAACTCATATTCATAGTTTTTAGGTTTATTTAATTTATAGTGAAATACAACCCCGTTTTCATTGTCATCAGTTTGCAATGAAGTTATGATTAAACTAAACTGCATATCTTTCAAACTTTAGATGTTTTTACCTATACCCTACTTTTAATATGCAATGGTGACTTAACATAGTAGATTGGAAAGAAGTTACAACTGGGATTAAATCAAAATAAACCATTCGACGGAATTGTGAACTCTTGAACTGAAACCTGTTAACAACAGATACATATTTTCCTGAGTGGCGTTCGCCAGATAATCGTGGTAATTAATTAGAGCACCAAAAATATATTCATTCTTTTTCTATATCTTGAATTTTGCTATTCCTTCCTTTACATTCATTCATGTGTTCACACCTACTACTTATTAATATTACTAATAATTTGATTCCCCTTTGGTTTCTATCTTCTTTCTGCGTTGATGAAAACTGTGGCAACTTAAGCTAATGAACATTCGTCCTAGTTCTAATACATATATTACCGATTACCTATTCACTTTCATTACATATTCACCCATAACTGTGACAAAAAATATAATATCAGTTGACTTGGAGATTATAAGCTTCGACTTAAATGTTAACAGTAATCATTTAGTCTGTTTATTATCCAATATGACTCCTAGATTCATTGTTGTAAAGTGCCTTACTTGAGTGACACTCAATAATAATAATAGTTCTTTCAATAAGTGCTCATTACATTTTTTATAAACTAAAATTAATTTGGCTCACGTGTTTTGTCAAACATTTTTCACCATCATAATCTTTTTGTCATAGTTTGTATAAAAGGTTAGAGTGACAATTTATGAAGAGTAACACTAAAAAATCGCTATTCTTATATTAATAATCACAGAGATTTTAGATGCGTGTGTGTAACGTATTTAGTCTAGATTGTTTCATACTCAAATATTACCGTTTGTTTATGTGATGATCTTTTATTTTGGTAATACATAACATACTTTATATTTGGTTAGTATTATACTACTGGTATTCACTACCTACACTGTCCCTCACAAAGATTGAATAAGAATCAAAACTCTCCGGCATCAAATTGTTTTATACGGAAACCATAGTACTATCATAAAAAGCAACTGCTTTAATACAGTCAGAAAAAGTCGATTCGACCGTGAATTTGACTAAACAGCAGAATTTCAGTTCGTTCAGTCCATATTGGGCTAGTAAATTTGAGTATCCGACCGCTCTTTTAGAACCACACCATCTCAGCCTACTAAGATAATTTTTTTATTTCAATATTTATGTCTTCCCTCATAGTTAACAAACAGTTAGTGGTCTAATCATGAGAAAATTTAGCTGACCATTGTGGATAATTGACCACCTATCCTTACTACTCAGAAATATTTTTTGTTAGTTCATATAGACTATATGTCCATCAAATATATAGATCTTGTAAATTGCTGTGTCAACTTTTTCATTGTGCTACTAGTCTATTTAAGATAGCGAATTGTGTTCAAAGTAAAATTTATTTGTGTTCCCCAGGACTGAAGACAAAAATAGTTTTTTAGTACTTTTAAACAAAGCAAACTAGTTGATAAGATCTTTACATTTGTAATTGTATCATTTTCGATGAATCACTAAGCGCTATAACTATTCAAATTTATTTATTCTGACTTTTTTTAAAGCTGAGGCAGTATTTTCCCGTCAATTGTCATCAATGAGGACACTTCGTTCAGAAGCATGTCGTGTGTTAAATACAACACCTGACAAACCATTTTGTTGTTCTAGTCCAGAAATTGCAAAGAAACTTATTGATGACATTTGGAAAGTAAGTTCATTCATATTATGTATCGCTTTACTTTGAGGAAAATATTTTCTACCATGCAATAATATGGTTATTTGTCCTTCTTAAATGTATACCTCCACAATTACTACTGTTTTCAGTTGGCATCATGTAAAAATAATTGTTGGCTGTGGGGCATATAATAAATTTAGTGAAATCATACAGATGTGAGTACTGGTGAAGTTAGATGGTTAGCAATGGCATATAACCAAGAAGTGATGACTGACTATATGGTAAGCACACTTAGCTTTCAGCAAATAGGTCGCAAGTCAGAACTCCGGTGTAAACACTTCGGTTTGGATACTCAGATAATATCATTAACCTTCACATAATATAACTCAAAGTCGATTGCATAAACTTTTACTTAGTAAGATGAATTGGTTATTGAGGATTCATGAAGAGCGGTTAACCAAATGGTTAATATCCAGATGTAGTTTGATAAATGCATCTTGCTTATCCAAAATAACATCGTTATTTGGGTCCGCAAAAGACAACTGAATGTGATTGATGCTTATGTGAATATTTAAGGTAGAAAGTTATCAGATTACTGGATTCATTATTTAAAAGCAATGATAAACATTTCAACTGTAGAATAATGGAAAACATTGTTTTTTATCATGCGGTTAGTTACTCGCCACGTTCCGATACTTTTTCTGGATTGCCTGTAAATCGATAAAAAGCCTTAACTTTTATAACCTTCACGAACAATAATAACAATTATCCATGTTCGCTTATTCATTTCGGTTGATTGTTTGAATTTCCTGTTAATTACCATATCTAATAATTGTCTTCTTACAAATCTATGTTCCATATGAATGGAATCCTTTTGGTAGTTCACAAATTTTTGACATGGCTGAAATCTCTGCTTTCACGTATACTTATTCCTGTGATGAAAAACCAACTATCCCACAGGCACCAATTATTATATAGAATGGCCAAATGCCTTGTAGATACATATATCACTGTTGAAATCTGATCAAAAGTTTATAATTGCTTCAATTGGTTTTGTGAATCTACCCATCAGCTTAACCTGCGATGTCAGCGCATGATAACAAAGCAAAATAAAAAAGTAGGGCAAACGTCTTGTAACTTTAGTTCTTTGTGCATAGTGCCTTGATAACATAAAATGATAAAAGTACTTCCATACCCTACTTATCTAATTTTGGAAGATGGGGTTTCGAGATTCCATTTACATTGTAAAACGATTCTGATTGCCTGAATAGTAGGTCATGAGTGTTAGAAAAAAGTCGTCATATATAACCCAATAAATTAGTTACAGCCGTTTAATCTTAAATTGTGACTATATACTAAGCTATTGACTAATAAGTATCTAGTGCTACCCAGTTCAATTTATTCAAAGGTGACTGTAAATCAGTGCAAATAAAATACAACAATTAGCGAAATCAGACTTTGTTTTTAAACTATTTTGGTGCATATCATAACTTTCTTTGTAGCCTTCACCTTCATTTTTTTGCATCAAGCCAATATCAGCATAGGCCTGATAAGCTGTTGTTTTTATCGACGAGTTCTTTCTTTCTGCGTTTGCTTTTTATTGTGTTATTTATTTGATAACCACATGACATGAAAAAATAATCCAGTCTTAGTGAATGAACAAACAATCAATAATTTTCGCGGAGCAATTTACAGTATGAATATATCTAACCACCATTGATTAGTATTAAATCATTATTAAAAATGCATAGAAATAGTGCACAGCTCAATTATTACGTAAACATATATATGCACTAAACTTGAAAATTTGGGCGCCAGAGTTATGTTTACAATGCGCTTATTAAACTAGATAAAATGCGTTTACAAACCAATATTTTCTTAATGTAAGTTGCTGCTTTGTTTTAAGTGGTTGAATATCTATATTGTTAAGATAAATGATGCCTCTCTTTTGTTCGGTAGTTATTTGAGTGCTTGTTTCACTATCAGGTTAATCATCAATAAGTATGCACATTTCAAAATTGTTTCTGCAGTTATAGTAAAGTAGGATGGCTATAGTATTCCATTAAGATATATGAGAACTGTAAATCCGAAACTTCAATTTATCGTATAACTGGAATATGGAAACATTTGTCACATTTAAATTCCTATACATCAGAGATACTGCACGTTTTTTCTCACTAGCATCTTACTTGTTATCGTTGTTTAAATTATAGGCATTGTATGCATCAAAAATAGTTTCGTATGCCCAAGGATTTATGCTGTTGCAGCAGGCATATCAAGCCTTTGGTTGGAAATTGGATCTTGGTGCGATAGCTCTTATGTGGCGTGGTGGGTGCATCATACGCAGGTTGGTTATTATCAGCTTTATATATATATATATATATATATATATATATATATATATATATATATATATATATATATATATATATGGCTTATGAGTTAAGTGTTATCGATGAACTAAAGAACCCGTTACCTTTGACCGTTTAACTGGCGGGTACACGATCCGCCCATTGCAGATAGTCAGTTATAGTAAAACTTGTTTTGAACCTCTGGATGTGCATTAATTCTTTCTTGCTCACATATGAGCTTTGTTGACGGAGGTCCTCATCATAAAACTAACTCACCAATTCTAGTTTGTTATTTCACTCTCTCAATATCAAGTAAACTGTACCAAGGTCCCGGGTCATTCAGCTTAGCTATGACTCCGAGACACTTGGTAATTATGTGGCGTGTGCTACTTATGTAGACATAAGTAGTATATGACGTGAGTACTGAACAGAATGTCTGGCAGCAGAGAGATGAGAAGATCGGACAATAAAGAATGAAGAAAGAATGCAATTTGTATGAAAATGCAAGAACAAAAGGATTCTGAGTCATTTGAGACAATTTGCAAATTAACGATTTAATATATGGTTGTTGGATTTTACTAACTAGTTCTGTAATTTGTTGTTAAATATATTTGATTGTCCCCACCTGTGTTCTGTTCACTACAATTACACCGCCATCAGCAATTACAAATTAGGGCATCCACTGAAGACCAATCGATAGCTAGGACTACTCTCTAAACAGTCGCTTTTATGAGAATTAAGACAGTAAACATAATTCCCTACTTCATGTTTATTTGGATTTAGTAATTTTTTTCTTGTAAATATTGTTGCTCTCTGCTGCTTTAAAATGTTTGCTTCCCCTTCAGTCTTATCGTTACAAAGTACCTTCATAAGAGCGCTCTTTGATTTTTCGCCTTTATTAAGAAAGGATGTTGCATAATGAGAATAGTCGCTAAGAGTTTTGACTTATTTCAAATTTTGTACATAAAAATTTATATTTGAAAATGAATGGTATACTGTATTGTGTACAATAGCGCTGATATGTACCAAATTACGTACTTCATGTATAAACTTCTGCTGCATATCGTTCAGGTCAGTAGCCATTATTTTGACATACTTGTAGCGTGTTTTATTCGAAAATATCCAAACTTCTCATTTGTTTATCGACTACTTCACAATATCTAATGATCGTCTGTCTACCTCGATCCAGTTTGACAGGATCAGTCAAGTTTAACCTGGACCATTGTAGTCAAGCACACTAATTTATGCTTGTTTATTGCGTTACATCGTATCCACAGAGATTTACTTCAATTACTTTGATAAGGTTGTGCAGAAGTGTGAACCATAGAGTAATATTTACCATAGCTTTCTCTGTTACATATTTTTGTTGTCTATGTATGTTATCATTATTTTCATTTTCACTTTTTTGTAGCAAATTTCTTGGAAATATAAAAGAAGCTTATGATAAAAATCCAAATCTGAGTAATTTACTTCTAGATCCATTCTTTAAAAAAGTTATTGATGAATGTGAAGTAAGTTGTGCGAATAAATAATTCTCTGCTTATTGATTGGTTAACGATTGTGATAAATTCCATATTTTAATTACAGAATATTAAGTGTTATGTAACTTTTCTGTGTAGTTGTTAATTCACTTGGTGAACCATTAAACTACTTTATCTTAAAGTAATTTTAATTAAGCTACAAATACGTGATCGAGTTACGTTTTGCGATGAATCATGATAGTTTATTTGTGTCATCTTTACCTTATTTAACCTTTTAAACGTACCAAGAATAATGGACGAAATTGTGAATAATTACTGATTTTTTGAAAGAGAGTAGCAATGATTCTGTTGACAAACCAAAATTCAATAAGCATTTTAAACTAAATAGTGTATTAAGATAGTACTGATCGTCGTACCATTGTGATAACAACTTTGCTCATGTTTCTCGACTTATAAGATAATGTAAGACGATATCCAGTTATTTTATCAATTAAGAAATCCAACTTATAATTTCCATAGGTTTATGCAATTCTTCTATTCATCCTTATTTTTCTGGACGCGTAGATTCATATAGGTTTATTGTTGGGCTATGATCATCTCAGTAAAATAAATAAGCTTTGTGCTTGAACTTGCTTCAGTTTTGTCAGTACGCAGAACAGATCAGTGATATCTCGTGTTATTCTGATCTGCTTGATTCACACTTCTAGCAATTATTATTCATATTGTTATTGTTATTTGGTTTTTAGGATGGATGGCGTAGAGTGGTTTCTCATGGAGCTTTAAACGCGATTCCTACACCTGTATTCAGTTCTGCATTATCATTCTATGATGGAATAAAATGTCCATATTTACCTGCTAATTTAATACAAGTAAGATTCGAATCCTGTTTGACTTTTTTATATCGTCCATCAAATATGAATGTTCCCTCTGTAACAACTTTATTATTATTATTATTTGAACACATAAATATTGGTACAGGGGGGCACCAAATATATATGCGCCACACAAAACAATGATAATTTGAAGAGAAGGAGAAAAGAGAAAAAAAAAGTAATGGACGTGGGGAATTATATAAAAAAAAGAGAGAGAGAGAGAACAATGGTGGGGGAAACGGAAAGGTACAATCAGAAGAGATCTTTCAGTTAAGGAAGATACAACCACTTTTTATGAAGAAAGTAAAAGAAGGTTACAGCAGGATCGCCACTGGCTTCTATTCTGAGCCATATCTGATAATGTCTCTAGCCACTGCGTTACACCGTCTCTCGGACCCCAACCAGGGAGTCGTGAAGGACCAACAGAAGCTAGCCCTTTGCAGCTTTCTTTCATACCACGACACCGTGTCATATACTGACCACCTCTCCGCTTTTTCCAACCAGTCCCAGAGACGGCAAATAATGCACGACGTGGAATTCTCTGGGACGACATTCGTAGAACATGTCCAAGCCACCGAAGTCGGTGTTTCAAGATGGTGACACCAATTGCATTATCGTCTCTGTGCCCGAACACTCGATGCCGAACCTCTGCATTACTGACATGGTGTTGCCACTGGATGCAAGCAATCCTTCGGAGACAACGATGATCGAACACAGAGGGTCGTCTAACATCCTCAACTCGGAGAGCCCAGGTTTCACAAGCATAGAGCAAAACTGCTCTTACCGTCGCGTTGTAGATCCGACCTTTTACAGCCAGACTAACATCACGAAGGCGCCAAAGATGGCCCGGATTGGCATAAGCCGCTCTGGCTTTCACTATACGTGCATTGATCTCATCACTCACACCACCACCAGCACTTATGCAGCTACCTAGATACACGAACTTCTCGACTACTTCAATCTGCTCACCATCCAGAGTGAGTACAGGATTAGAATCCTGCCAGTCTTGTAGAAGTACTTTGCACTTCGAGGGTGCAAAGCACATACCATACATACGGACACTGATTGCCAACTGATTAAGTGCGGATTGCATAGCTTGGGCATTCTCGCACAGTAAGACAATATCATCCGCATACTCAAGGTCGAGAAGTCTTTCTCCAGGCAACAGATCCACACCATCATTACTTACATCCGTCAGAGCTCTTTCCAGAATGTCATCGATGGCAAAGTTGAAGAGGAATGGTGAGATTGGGCAACCCTGCCTAACCCCACTGCTTGAATGGAATAACGGAGAAAGGTGGTTGTATGCCCTCACTCTGCCTGAGGTGTTTGTGTATAGGGCTTTTAGGATGTTAATAAACTTCTCAGGCACACCCTTCTTCAATAGACGATCCCAGAGAACAGTTCTGTCCAACGAATCGAAGGCAGCCTTGATATCAAGAAACACTACGATTGTTGGCCTTTGATAAGTATGGCGGTGTTCTAACACTTGGCGGAGGGTGAAGATATGATCAATACATCCTCGACCAGAACGAAACCCAGCCTGTTCTTCGCGAGTCAATCCTTCTCGGGTTCTGAACAACCTACGAAGTATGACGGAAGCCAATAGCTTGGACGCAATCGGAAGTAGACTTATCCCCCGATAGTTGTTACAGGAACAACGTGAACCCTTTTTAAAGATAGGGACAACTATCGACTCATTCCATGACGTTGGTACACTCTCTAGTTCCCAGATCTTTGTAAGCAACGTCGTCAGTCCCTTAGTCAGAAAGTCACCACCATCTTTAAAAAGAGCCGGAGGTAAGTCGTCTGGGCCCGGTGATTTGTAACGTTTCAAGAGTTGGAGTTCCTTGCGGACTTCCGCCTCATTTGGTGGATCATTTGTCACCGGCCATGGAGGGCAGGACAGTCTGACCGATGTTGCCGGAGCAGCAGGCCAGTTGAACTGCCCTTCAAAGAATTCTGCCCATCGTCCAAGACGTCGATGGATGTTAGTGATTGGCGTTCCGTCATCCTCGCAGATTGTTTCGCTCACACCAGACTTCTTGCTGCCAGTGGCTCGGATGAGTTGGAAGAGCTTCCGGTAATTACCAGATGCAGCTGCTGCTTCCAGCTCATTAGCACGCTCCGACCACCAGGCTTCACGGTCCTTACGCAAGCTTTGCCCGATTTCATTACGTAACATCCTTCGTCTGTGGTCAAACTCACGGTCACCCGGAGTAGACCGACGGGCTTCAATCAGTTGTAAGGAACCAGAAGAAACCCAGTGCTTGTAAGCGGGACGTTTCGCAAACCCACAACTGACTTGACCCGCCATTTTCATGGCGTCATGCAATTGCAACCAATGCTCATCTATACTTTTCGGTGGAGTGGTAGCTAGTCTAGAAGCTAGCTCGGTTCGGTACTTACTAGCAACAGAAGTTGCAGCCAGTTTGCTAACATCAATCCTGTGGTGGCGGTCACTTCGTTGTCCACTGAAAAGTAGGGTAAGATTGGCGCAGACCAGAGCATGATCAGATTCCAGATAGGTACTCCAAAAGGAGCGGCAGTATTGTACACAACCACGCCAGCGGTAGCTGATCGCGATGTGATCAATCTGAGTCCAGGCTTGAGATGCAGAAGGGGGACGCCAGGTGGCACATCGGCGATGACTGTGCCGAAAGTTAGTGCTAGCCAGAAACAGGTTGTGGTCTGTGCATAATTGCAGTAGACGTTCCCCGTTATCTGTCCTGCGACCAACGAGTCCCCATCGGCCACCTAAACGACTCTCTTCTGTGCCTAGACGCCCGACCTGAGCATTCAAGTCTCCAGCTAGTACTACAATATCTGTCGAACGCACTTTCTGGAGAAGAACAGTTAGCTGGTGGTAGAACTCGTCCTTGATTGCATCCGGGCTGCAATCTGTCGGGGCATAGGCGATGACAAAAAGACATCGTTTCTCACGCCTATTTCTTCTCACTTTGATGGAACTTTCTAATCTAACAGCACATAACCGACTGTTAATGGGGATCCAGTCGACTAGTGCTGCCTCAGCTCTTGTGCTTAGTGCGACACCAACGTCAGCAAGACCAGACGAAGATGCCACAGGGTCCCCGGATAAACGCACATAAAACAAGCTTTTTGAAGCGACAGATGGAGAGCGAACTTGTAGTACTTCACCAGAGTCTTGAATACGGGTCTCGGATAGACAACACACGTCAATATTAAGACTTTCCAAAGACATAGCCAGCCCTATCTGTTGTCCGACCTGCATAAGAGTGCGAACGTTGAAGGCAGCCAGTTTGAATGGTGTACGTGGTTTCAGAAAAACTGCTTCAGTACTCATATTCGGTGGTAACATACAATTTCCAACCAGGCAGTGACTCGAGTACGTTTAGATAAAGCTGAATTTTCACCATAGGTGAGCTGCTGTCTAGGTCGAAACGGATACATAAAGTAGGAATAAGAGAGGGTGAATAAATGACGTGGTAGAGTAATAATAATAATAATAATAATAATAATAATAATAATAATAATAATAATAGTACGAGTCATTTCAATGTTAATCAGAAAGAAGGGAATATTTTCCATAAGCAAATTGTTCATCATTATGGTTTTAGTGCGTGGGCTGAGATACTGCCCGGGTGCCCAAACCGAAGCAGGTGGTTTTCTTAGGGGGCCACACCCCGAGCCTTTGACCTAAAGGTCTAACCCACAAGGCAGTGGAGCATCGTGAGGAGATGCGGTCCCCTGGAAGCCGGTGACCAGAAGTTGGTTCATACGCCATTTGTTCCCGCAGGATACTGGAGCCCATGTGCACCATAGAGTCGGGATCCGGTTATAGCGCCGGACGTTCGCTTTTCGTCCTCTCATTTTCGTAAACAACACCCGTGGTGCGAGAAGGCAGTGAGTAGGACTTACCTGGCAGAGGCTGTAAACGCGTGGCCGTGTGAGAGTATTTCGAGAGGGAGGGCGAACCCTCCCCGCTCTCGGCCATACCAGGGCCCGTTACCCCTCATGGAGGAGCATAGGCCGTTCACCAGTATTCTCTATCCCACTCTATCATGGACAATCCTTCCCAGTTGCTATTCATCCTTTTCGTGCCTGCTTCCAATTCCCGAGGCATTATGTTACTTAACCTTTCTCCCTCAGGATTCCAAGTTAGCGTTTGCCTCGTGATGTAGTTTAATGATTTCCTCAATGTGTATCCTATCCACTCCTAGTGTCTTTTCCTAATTTCCTCATCAGTTGGTTTGTTCTCTGATGGTATGTGACCAATATGTAGTGCAGTGTAGTCCGTCGTATGAATTCCGGATGATGTTGACGAGATATACCATAGTGTCGAAGAAAGTTTCATGACGTTCTCCTATCCACACTGTCAAATGCTTACTTATAGTCAAGAAACTTGATGTGTAGTGACGAATTCCATTTAATTAGTTGTTCAATGATGATCCGTAGTATCACGATTTCATCTGCGCACAACCGCTCCTTGCGGAATCCAGCCTGTTGATCTTGATGCTGGATGTCTACGAAATCTTTCATCCGGTTCAGCAGCACTCTGTTGAAAACTTTTCCTGGTACTGACAGTATTGTGATGTCTTTATAATTTTCACATTTGCTTACATCTCCTTTCTTTGGTATGTTGATGAGGTGTTCTTCTTTCCGGTCTATCTGTGGCACTTGTTCTTCCTCCCAAATCTTCATGAATAGAACGTGGAGCATGTTTGCAGTTGCTTTTACGTCTGACTTCAGATAGTATATTGTCAGGTCGTGCTGCTTTCTCATTCTTGATTTGTCTGATCACCGGCCATGCTCGTTTATTCGGTCGTTGATGGAGTGACATCTATAGGAAGGTCTGTGTGTGCTGCTTCGATGTCCGATGGGTTCAATGAGACTGATCCATTCAATAGTTCCTCAAAGTATTCTACCCATCTGTCTTGCCTTCTCTATCCTTGACTGCTCTCTCTGGTTTACGGCATTTCCCTGTTAGTTTCTTCGTCGTGTCATATAGCTGTCTTATATTTCCTTCTCATGAAGCTTTTTCCACTGTCGTTGCTACGTCTTCCACGGATTCCCGCTTGTCGTCTCTAATGCACTTCTTCACTTGCTTGTTTGTTACTGTGTATTCAGCTTGTGCCTTAACTTTCTCTGTTGTTGTTTAGCTGTTGTTAATTGCTGTCTTTTTGTTCTTCCTTTCTTGAATTCTGTCTAGGGTTTTGATAGAGATCCATTCCTTATGATGATGCTTCTTGCGGTCCAGCACCTCCTGACACGTTGAAGCTAATGCTTCTTTGATCCATTTGCTTTTGTCCTCTATAGTAGCTTTTCCTTCTTTAGATTTTGTAAGTCTTGGCAGCTGTTGTTGAGAGTTGTCTTGAATTAGTTGAGTTTGTTAGCGTGTCGAAGGAAGGCTGTATTGAACCTTTGTAGTGCTGTTTCTCTAACTGTCGAATTCTTCTTTGGCTTCATCAAAACTAGGTGGTGATTGAGACTATGTCAGCTCCTTTCCTTGTTTTCACGTCTTCCATTGTCCTTCTGAATTTTTTACTGATCCGAATATGATCTGTCTGGTTCTCAGTGGTGTGGTCCGATGAGACCCATGTAGCTTTGTTTGGGAATATTGTGCCGCCTATAACTAATTTGTTGAATGCACATAGGTTTACAAATCTCTACCCACCTTCGTTTCTCCCTTCCAGTCCATGTCGTCCCATTAAATCTTCATATCCGGTGTTGTCCATTCCGACTTTGGCGTTTTATTCTCCCATCAGGATGGTGAGATCCTTTCTTGTGCACTTCGCTTTGATTGACTGCAGCCTCTCATAGGACTGATCTTTATTGTCGTCGTTCCTATCACTGGTGGGTGAATAACATTGGATAATGTTCATTGTGATCCCCTCCTTCTTTGTTTTGAATGATGCTTTGATGATTCTGGATCCGTGAGATTCCCATCCTACAAGTACATTTCGTGCTACTTTGGACAGCATTAGAGCAACTTCCTGAGTGTGTGGAGCATTTTCCTCTTCGTGACCGGAGTATAGCAGCATCAATACCGTATCTAGCCTTTTCTGTCCAGCTTGGGTTTAATGGGTTTCTTTGATTCCCAGTACTACCAAGTTGTATCTCCTCATTTCCGTTGCTATTTGACTGGTCTTCCCGGTCTCCCACATTGTCCGGATGTTCCATGTGCCTATAAAAATTGTTGCTCTGGTTGTTAAAAGGGGCATCGGCCTCGTGTCTTCCGAAGGAACTCGGCTTTCATCATGAGGCATCATAATTCTTCCTTCAACTCCCAGGGCATATGTTAAATTGTTTAATCTGGTTGGCGTTTTTTAACGTGATTTTTTTCTACGGGATGGGGTTGCCTACCTTATGTCCAACCCTCCTCCTCTACCTGGGCTCGGGACCGGCAGTGACTCTAGAAGAGCCACAGGCGGAGTTCTTTGAAACAGCCCCCAAATGCCCTGGTACGGCCGAGAGTGGGGAGAGTCCGCTCTCCCTCTCGAAATGCTCTCACATGGCCATGCGTATATAGCCTCTGCCAGGGAAGTCCTACTCACTGCCTTCTCGTGGCGAGGGTGTTGTTTACAAAAATGAGAGGACGAAAAGCGAATGTCCGGCGCTTTAACCGGACCTCAAACCAATGGTGCACATGGGCTCCAGTATCCTGAAGGAACAAATGGCGTATGAACCAATCGTTGGTCACCGGCTACCATGGGACTGCATCTCCTTACGATGCTCCACTGCCTTGTGGGTCAGACGTTCAGGTCAAAGGCTCGGGGTGTGCCCCCCTAAGAAAACCACCTGCTTCGGTTTTGGCACCCGAGCAGTATCACAGCCCTCACACAAATCAATTGAGATTTGTGTGGCGCATATGTATTTGGTGCCTCCCTGTACCTATACTTATGTGTTAAAATAAATAAATAAATAAATAATCTTTGAAACAAGCTTCATGAATTAAATAATGCTCATTTTCACTTTTAGGCTCAACGTGACTATTTTGGAGCCCATCAGTTTGAAAAAACTGATAATCCAGGCACGTTTATTCATGTCGACTGGACAGGTCATGGCGGTTCAGCAGCTTCCACTACATATCAGGCTTAATTCTTAACAAATTTTGTGATATTTAATCATATCTACATTACTTAATTAGAAAATGAAGAGACTTCTACGGATTATTACGTTTTCAAAATTCCTTTTTTATGTACGTTTGTCAGAAATAATTTCTTAGGTAAAAAAATGTATTCTTAGCATGATTTGTACAAGTTATTTCTCATATCACACTTAATAAATTACACTCTAGTAATTATCACTGGTTATTCCATCTCATCTCCAGAATCAAAAGCTTCGCGTTGTTCGTTATCCTCACCGCCTATACCAGCACCTAACCTTGAACGATCACTGACTGAGGATACGGATATTTTTGAGGAAGTTGGTTTTGCATTCTTGCCTTCACAAGCAACTATTTTTATCTGAAAGTCGACAAACAGTATTAATGATTAGTTATTGATACAGGTTTGTTAGCGAAACGTTTTTTTTCGCTGGATACCAATTAAATTCTCCGCTATTAAACTTAAAACGCAGCACATGCTAAAAATCAATTACCCAGCCTAAGGTAACCTCTATTAGGATAAAAGAATGTCATTTAACTGTTGGAAAGCTATTCCTCAATGTATTGATTCATTGAAGCACACAAGTCTGTTCAATGGACGGAGGACTACACAATGCACAATACAATACGTAATCTAAAGTAATTCTCCAAGTTCTTTGGACTACTTGGTAATGTTAGATAGAAACTGTATTTCAGTCCATTTAATCACATAGAAAACACTGAATTTGTGTTCTTAATGTATACTCTTATATCATCGACGAAACACTATAAATTTAACGTGAGCTTCCAAGTCATATTGTTTCACTGTCTGTTTGTATTGTCGTAGTACTAATTTTAAAAAAATAATCCTAGCATAGCTGAACACATGGTTTTGCAATTATTAACAATTAAGTAGATTAAACTGACGTAATAAATCATCTAGGCTCTGACTGAATAACGAACTACATTAGTCGGTAATTAGGATCTTTAGACTTAACAAGAACATTCACATCGAAAGGTAAACAGGGAAATAAGCACCAAATAATCAAATCACGATCGAAGACTAAAATATAGTGAACGGTTTAATGATGATGTGACTTATCTACTAAGGACAGATTTATGCGCTATGCAGCTGTAAACTGCATTTGTTGAGGGCTAATGATGCTACCCGGGTGCCAAACCGCCCCGTCGTTCGATATGAGTAGATAAAGAATACGGGATGGCTTTTAGACCTAAAAAAACTGAATGTATACAGATGCGCCACAGGGGATGCATTTCTAATTTTGACTTTGTCAGCCACCTATAGAAAACTGGTGAGACCTCCAAAACAATCGAAGTAGTCAGCAATCTGGGCTCCTCTACGACCTTTGGTCATAATAGGTATTACGAAGCAACACTTCAGACTGAAGGGGAAGGATATACGTTATAGATATCAGTGTATTATTACGGTGGTTGAAAGATTATTTTTTACATCGTATTTGCCAAATAAAACTCGTTTGCGTATTGCAAGTTGCCAAAGATAGTAATCGATTCCCGGAAAGTTATACGATATGTGGTAGTGGAAGTGAAATATTATTGGCCGTTGAGCATAGACAAACAGGCAACTAGCCTACTGACCATCAAATATGTGATTTCTTTTCCCGATTGAATTCTACTTCGGACTCACTGAGTGCGACTGATTGCGATTGTGCCTAATAAAGCATTATCTATTGTTAATATGGTTCTCTATTCTGGGTCGTGAATCCTGGATTTGATATAACGTTACTAGTTTGATTATCATATTAAGGTATTATCGTAGTATTTTAAACCATCCGTTATATTATATGAAAACAGCATCATTTCCAGGGCATTCATTAGAAATTAGAAAGAAAACAGGGATGATGGCTAATCGTAAGAAACCATTTAATATAGTCACTAGAGAAGCTAATCAGCTCTGTCTCGATCGCTGGAGTTACTTAATGGTTATAGAACACCAAATCAAAACTATATTGATGGTGTCGAGTACTTTAAGAATATTGCATACGGTTACTCTCAAGAACAGAATTAAATCTTACAACTTGGGCTTACCTTATCAACTGTCATAATAGCAGAGGAATCTTTTATCTCCACATCATTCATCACTAACGTCCATACATTGTCACAGTTCCTGTAAGTGTTCAGGTGACCACGAAGCGAAAGACGGTTTTTAACACGCTTTGCCAAAGCATTGCTTATACATTGGTCGAACTTCTGCATAACCTAAGAAGGTTACATTTAACCATAGTGTCATATGGACTGAGTTACCTTGTGGTCCATTCCAGGCTGTAGTAAATTATGTGCTAGCATTTCATCTAGGGCTTCACGAAGGGTAGTCCCCAGTGTAGTGCTCCTGTACATTTCATGATAAGTCATTTTTCGTAGAAAAAAAGTTTTAAAACGTTCTAAAACGAAACAGTAAAAAAAGAACGAGTAGTGCTACTGCGTAAATACTTCTGAAATTTCAAAGTTAGAACCAAGCTTATTTTCCATTCGTATAAATACAATTAGTTCAGTATCTAATTAACATTGAGGGTGGAAAGATTGCTCCAGGTAAATAGACATACTTCTTGCGGTCTGGATACCGGATGACCGGCGAATTACTGAGTATGCTTAGCAAATATTTGCAAAACGTGTACTGATTCTAACCCTCGCGTATAGTACTTTTGTGTACGTTTAAAACCACTAAGCTGCAACTGTCGAAACATCTGCTACAAGCCATTACTATTATTATTAATTGACTAATAAACAGTTATCAGTACCACAGGTCTATTAAGGTATTAAAATAAGCAAGTATTACTTCTCATGATAGGTAACTAAAAGCAATCAACAAGAACCTATAATCTTAAGTCTTGGGAAGGTCAAAACTTAACAAATTTGCGAGCTTGAAGTTGGTGTCACTGCTTAAGTTGAAGCTAGTGCAACTTAGTCTCACAGGAAAGTAATCATTGTAACTTGTTCTTCGACCAGACTCCCTCATGACTTAATGTGGAATCAAAATGAAGAAGCACTTAGCGAAAGATAATGGTAAGAAAACTCATATTTGCAGAGTGTAACCAAATAAATATTGTGGGATAATCAACGTCAGAGGTTTGTATTGCACTTTAAGGTACGGAGCATGGCGATTCATAGGTTAATTTAGTATTGATTTTTGCTAGACTAGACACCGTTGATATAACTAGACAGATGAAATGAATGATCAGGAACTCCATTACTTATATAAGATATGACATTTATACCAATAAACTGGTGTCAAAAATTACGACTAAATTATAGTTGTTAGAAGCAGGCCCCTGCTTTAAGATGAACTGTTCCCGTAGAATCCCGATTTATTCTCCAGACTTTCAATTACACCAAGAGTAGGATGAGTGAAAGGTCTACAGCTTGGTCGACATCATGTATCAGCACGACTTCGAACTTTACTAAAGGTTGAAAGGAATTAGGTCAACAGATGGTTAGAGATTTACCAGTTCGAAAAGAAGCAATTTAGTGAGTCGCGCTACTCGAACGGATTACTGGAAAGACTTAATCAATCCGAAGTAATTTTGCTTAGCAGTCAGCATAACTGTTATTTTAAATTTGCCAATATAACCATGTTTTGAAAATTACCTGAATTCTGTAAATATAAGCACTTGTTTCTCAAGAAACCAGCATCTTGTTACGTTAGTGAATGGCTCATTAAAATTCGTATTATGATAACACTCGCCACACAACAAGCTCATCCAATATACAATTACTCTGAACTACCAATAATAAATAGCGTTACCTGTGACTTACTGGGTGGTGATAACACTCGATATGATTCATCCAGCAGTTCTCAAAGCTCGGATAAAGCTATTTTACTAGGTAATTTGGTTCTTAACTAAATGTTAACCAGGACAATACAGTTTTGAGGATTATTACATTTGAACAATCCACAACGAAATGATATATATATCCGAAAAATTCACTTAAATATAGTCAACCTTTATATTTATTGCATAAAACTGGCCATTTGGTTAACGGGAACCGGTGCTAACCTTCGAACTGAAGGGTTGGTTGGATTTGCACTTGTTCATATCTGAACTTTTGCTGAAAGTCAATTAACCACGTGGGTGTAAGTGAATAAGGTATTACATGTTTTAAGAAAATAGTAAGACCAAGAATATGCTCAATCTTATCTTTGTTGCTTTCTCGGTGATTTCTTACATTATTTTCGTAATAAACACCCAAATACTATACGATGTTAGACAAGGTCAAAAAGCGGCTACAACCTGACCTCAGGGTCACTGTTCAGCTTTTAATATCCTCTCGACATTCCAGTGTAAACCAGATGGTACATTCGCTATTATATTTTAGTGCTAGATAATATCTTTATATCCTCATTATTATTCTCCATTGTTGATCTGGTTACCTGTTTTCACCAGTCACGGTATTCGCATTCATGTAAGCCTCGGTATGTCTACTAAAAATAACTTTCCCTTCACTATTGTTGAGGACAATGCTACACACGGTCTGCGAGAGTTATCCGATCCTAGATGAGCATAACCAGCTTATATTGTCGCAGTAAAGCCTGAGAATAAATATGTGGAATTACTTGTTTGTGGGAAATTCAGGTGACGATTTTATTATCATATTTGCGCCATTATAACACGTGAAAGAAGCGATAACATAGATCTCAGGACCAGAAGATTCAACGAGTGTCCTAATGTAAGCTCATTTAGGGGAATCGGTTCTCAGTCTTCAGTCCATTTCCTTAAATTTTGACAGTGCTATAGGGTTGGTGAAATGTTACCTGCAGTCGATCCACTGAATATCGAACGGACTGGCGATCCTTGTCGATGTCGAGGACAACTGCGCGATATGAACTGGTCGATTCAGCGGTGATCACATTGTTCCTTGAGCTTGTTATTACTTCTATATTTGTGCAATTACGTCATTTGTGTTGTACGACCATCAAAATAGACATGGTAGCTAGATACAACGTAAGGGTAATCTACGTTAGGCACTAACCGTGATGTGTAACTTTGGCTTTAACTCGTCGGTCACACAGTGGCTGTCTAACCAGAGTAGGCCAACGATCACTCGGCTGAAATAGTCCACTTCGGCGATCTACATTGGTGAGCAAGATTTTATTTGGGCACGTTCAGTGCAGATAAGTCGAGCCAGCTGAATATCTGTAGAACTATGGCTTACGTCGTTATTAATGCTTCTTTAATAATAC